TCTTTCCTTTCTAGCTTATTCAAAAAATATCTTTGTTTTGGATTTCTGGCCAACTCTGAAGAAGATTAAAAAGAGGTTTATGAGGCACTAAACTGAAGTACACCCGCCTTAAACTGCTCTTAATCTTTTTTTATTACTTTTCACCTGTAAAGAAAACAGCATAAATATTCAGAAGAGCTGCTTATGCTGAGATTGTGGTGCATGTGAGTCTGAGGCTCACGCAGGGAACAAACTGCTGTGTCACAAGTGAAAACCTCAAAGGAAAATTGAAGCTCCATAATGGAAGCATAATGGGCTTAGCGTCAGAGTCTTGCAGACAACAAGGAAAGAAAGTAAGACTGCCGTCAACATCTTTTACCTCTATCCATTCTAACAGAGTTCAGGGAACAACACTGAGACCAAAACAAGCTTCAACAGGAGCAGCAACAGCCTAATGGCTGCATGTGGATAGAATCTTTAACTACTGAAATGGTCTCCTCTCCTCTTTGTGGGATTGTAGATCATCACATCTCAGCCTTGCTTTGAATAATCAAAAACATTGATCTCAGCCTGTGTAGGGTTTATGGTAAAATAAAATTCTGAGTGCAGATGTACTAATCTTATCTCAAGACTGAGAATACTTTGGTTGAATGTCTGAAATGTAGACACTGAGACAATAAAAAAAACAACCCCATTTAGATCTTCCAGGGTGTTTGCATAGAAGTATAGTCTAGACATGTTGACCCCAGATTAATAAGAAAAGCTATGCTTACATGACAGGAACTATATGACTATAACGGATGACTACTTTGGAGCCATTCCACAATGAAGAGGTGTTAAGATGTTATACAGAGAAAGAAAATGAGGGTGCAGGAGGAGGGACCAGCTGCAGGAACCATTTAAGTGAGGAATGCCAGTGGTTCCAAGACTATAGGGAAACATTCCAAATGTATCTATAAATAAATATTCGATCAAGTGATTGCTTAAAAATTTTGCCTGGTCTTTTTCAAGTGATCTCCATTCTCTCTAAACATTTTTAAATCTTTTTCAGTAGGAGGAAAAATAAGCAATGGAGTTAATTATAAATACCTAAAAAGTGTACAGTGACAAAGTATTTGCACTTCCTTACTTGACACCTCTGGGGTGGACTGACATCATATTGAACCTCTATGGATTAGGAATGGGACGTCACTTAGGCTCATATGTGAGTCAAGCAGGTGAGAGAATACTTTTTGCAACATAGTGTATGTGATGGAGCTCTTATAGAAAACGTCTGCCCTTGTTTATTTGCAAGAATTCACATTAGACGGTTATACCTTTATGGTCACTTTACATCATTCCATATTGTTGGATAAATTGAGATCTAAATTTTGAAGTTGCCATTTAATATGCTGTGGACTTTATCAAGCACTGATGCTCAATGTATTGCTGTTAAGCAAACCTCAAACCCAGCCTTGAAACTTTTCAAATTAAAATCAAGCTTTCTTCCAGGATTGCCTTGTCTTTAATGGAATTTTTACCTGGCAATTCCTAAAGAAAATGGTTTGCAGAAATGTCTGTCTTCCAGTAAAATATATATAAAAATTTCAGGCAGCTTTGGAAGAATGTTTAAGAAGAAGGTGGTGGACAGATTTCTCACCAACAACACTTTATACAACCCAGTCCAATTCAGTTCATTCCCGGGCTGAGGAACCAGCAGCTTCCGACCAGACATTTGTCGGTTATCTAACACCTTGAGTCGTAGCAGATTTTCATTGACACTGGGCAGAGAGGGAGGGGGTTGAGAACAGGGTCAGAGGGAACTTGTGTGGTAGATAGTAACGGATTAAGCTTTGTCTCAACTGCTGTGCAGAAAATCTGCTCTAGGATCTTCATGAATGTGTAGTTAAAAATCCGGGTCAAGGTTTAGTGTATTTTTAACTGTTCTTATATGAGTGTGTATTGAGCTGAGGCTTGACAACAAGTAAAGCAGATTTAAACATGACCATGTGTTGGTCATGTTTGGAGAACCTCCAGATATGCTCTTCTATGACATCATAGTCTAGAGGCAGAGTTGAAAACATACTCAGCAGTGCCTTGTGTGTTTGTTCTCTATATGAATTGGTTATCTTTTTAGCTGTGTAATTTATCATAGTTAAATATAGTTGACCAAACTTAGGCAGCATGCAGTATTCTGTATATTTATGGTAGATCTTCAAAGTATAGAAAGCAATGTTAAATTGAGTTTTGAACATGGGCTTAGGTTTGCATAGGGACGATAGGGACATGTCCCTACCAAAATTTTAGACCGACCTATATTGTCCCTACCAATAATTCAATGTGAACAACATGTTTATAATTTGTTGCAGCAGTGTCTTCTTTTCCTCTCGCAGCTCAACTGCCTGGTAGCTGAGGCTGCCTGGTCTTTCCTGTCCCTTTCACATAGCAGCTCATGTAACTTTGCTGCCCTGTTTAACCCCACACTCTGACTTTTCTGCCTTAAGTTCCACCTTTTCTCTTTCTGATTTTCTGTTTTTTAGTCTGTATGTGTGCGTGCGTGCTTCCAGCATGAAATAAAAAAATATGGCGGTTACCAAAATTAATATTAGGCTACGAAACTCTTATATTAAAAACTAAATATTATCAACACTAAAACAGGCGAAAGCTTCTGATTGCAGTTCTGTAAAGAAGCAGAGTTTTGATTTGTGGAACTTGAGAAATGTAAGTAACCAATGTTAGGATTTCTTTTCTAAAACTAAATATTCTGAGTCAGACAGGAGTTCTGAAAACTGCTGTTAAAATGAACAAGCAAAGACTATAAGTTATCAACATTTCTGATTCCTTTTTACCAATATTTCTTTGCTATTACTGTTTTTATTTTTGACGGCAGTTCAGGTATAAATAACAGTTATTTCTTTTGTAGAACATAACAACACGAAAAGAATGCTAAAGATCTGCTATTTTTTGTTTTCCACATAAAAATAGTTCTATTTAATTAAATTCTACTTCTAGAAGTAGGATAAAGACAAACAGAGGAACTCTATTTACATTGATTCTATTTTTCTAGATTTTCACACGGTCCATAAACATTAATGTCTGGTAAAAATGTTTGAACCTGGCTTTTTATTTTGGATACTATTACATTACAGATAAGATAGTGTTATATTGTCTTTTATAATTGTTAAAAGTGATTTTATATTTGATTAAACTTAGGCTCATTCTTAGTGTTGTGCTTTGTAGATGATGCCACTAAAAAAGAAAATATAAGGAGCTATTTTAACAGTCAGACATTAAGCAATATAGGATGATGATAAAAAGTTGTGTTACATTTAACCCTTTACTTTTAAAAATGCACTTGTATAATAAAAACATTATATGATTGTAGGAAACACAGATATAATGATGCAGAGCAGCCTCAGGGTGAAGCAGCTGCCCTTCAGTGCTGTATAATGGAAGAAAAGGTTTGGAAAGTTACCATAAAATTAGGGCAGCAACTAATGATTATTTTGCAAATTGATTAATCTGTTGATTATTTTTTCAGTGAATCGATTAATAATCAGATATCCAAAGGTTCCTTAAAGAAGATTTTTTATGAAATGAAACCAGGTGAAACTGAAACGTTTCCTATTGAGAAGTTCTGGATGGAGAATATTATTATATTATATTATACAGACAAAAACTTTTTTTTTTATCTTAAATTCAAATTGTTTACATATTTTTTACAATCTTGGTATAATTCCTGCTCTAAGGCAGTTGATCTGTCAGCTAAAGTCACATTTTAGTGGCCCTATACTCCAGTTAACAATTAATCAGTTGACAATTATTTAAATAATCTATCAATATGATTAACTGTTTCAGCCCTGGATAAATTACATGAAATGGGCTACACAGAGTAACTACAGCCCATATGTACTTGTATAGTTAATATTTTAAATGCTCAGTGTCAGTTCCTCTTATAGTTCCAGTGCAAATGTAAGTACAATAAATTTATTTGCCATCCCTTGAATGTATTATTTTGCATGATAGAGAGCATATTAGATAAAAAAAATAAGAGTGGGGTTTACCTCTGCACAATTCTATATCTTCAAAAGAAACCAGGATAAATCTACATATAACAGACATATTTAGACTATATTTGGTTAAATAGGCAGGTATTTACCTACTGTCTTATTTGCTGGTAAGTTTAAATGCAAACCCTTTCAAAGTGGAAAAAAGCCCTAATTCCACATTCCTCAGAGCCAGTGATGCTTTAAACACTGGTAAACAGCATCTAGCATGTGTAGTGCTTATAAGATTTGTATTAATGTAGCAGAAATGCTGCTGTTCTCTTTAAACAAAATGTGCCCTGATATTCACATTAAGCATAAAAAAAGAGCATGCATATTTTTGCATAGGACCGATGACATCAGACCAATGAAACTGAAGACCAATAGTGTCCTCACCAAAGTTTAAATCAAACCTACGCCCTTGGTTTTGAGCAATCAATGAAACGGCAGAAACAGATTTGGTGAAGACTTTAATGAAGAAAACTTCTAAATGAACAAAGCATTCCTTGATACATAAGAACAGAATCACAAACAAACCTTTAGAGAGAACCAACTCAGAGCAAAAGCCTGTCAGGTTATCAGACATCAGCCAGGGGAATAGGTGATATGAGGTTCTTTTACATTACAGTATATAATTACAATGAATTATAGAATACTGGTAATTTCTCCAAATTTCTAAATATTTTCAGAAGCTGTTTTTGAAGTAACAAGGCCTTGATAGTTCCCAATACATAAATGCCAAAACATCACCACAAAATAATGCAAATATCATCTTAGTAAAATGTTCCCAGGATGTTTTGCAGTTCATTAATCTATCATCAAGTCAACACAGATGCTTATTTAACAAGAGGTATTCTGGGTAAAACTTACCTTAGTATAGCTAATTATTATCAACTGTTCTCTGCTGTCTTGTGGTGACCAGCGTGTTATCCAGCTCTACTGTACAATCAATATACAGTTTTACAAAGAAATAAAAAATAAATGTGGTGCCTTTTCTTTTTTGGCTAATCAAATAGAACATATATGTTCACAGATGAACTCCAGGAGAGCTGAAATAGATATCAGACTAAACCTTAGGAGCTTAGAAACTCAAAAACAATAAACCAAATTTTGCATTCCTGGTCTAAACACCACAGAGCCTATAGAGAGTCTCTCCAAGGGTCAAGTAGGAATAATGGGAATGTCAGACAAATGAGTGGACAAGATGCAGGAGAATATTTGGGATAGTACTATGAAGGATGATCTAGCCTTTCGGAGCGGTGTATTGGCGCAGGAGAGAGGAAATAGCACTAGATTCGGTGACCTCTTCAGGAAGAGAGCCCTCCATGTCTTTGATGGATGGGTCAGCTCCGCTGTTGAGGAGGAGCTCTACGATATCAGCAAACTCGCAGGCTGACGCTGGGGAAACAGAGAAAAAGTATTAAAGCAGAGGAAAAAGAAACACAAAATAATCGAAAGACAATTGAAAGAGATTTTACATCATTTCCTCTTCTTTTTTAACAGAAATAGATGAATGTGTCCCTTTAAAGGAATGCAAAATTAATAAATCTTTTCCCGGCAGGAGTTGAAGCAACTTTCTCTTCTTACATCTTCAGCAGAATTATCTGGTGTCTGATAAGTAGAAAAATTCTGCAGTGGGAAACAATTATAAGGATTTTCAAAGAGTGCTGCAGTTTAGTTTTTGAGAGTTGTAGAATATCCTGGCATTTGAGAAAAATAATACATTTCTTTGTTATCTCTTCATCTGTGGTTGAGTATAAAGTAACCTTGACTTTAGCTCCCCCCAAAGTTCTTAAGCTTTCTTTTAACCTTTTCTTTTATCTAATAAATGCAAGTCAATAATCATCTTAATTCTATTCTAGAAAAATACCCCAAAATACCCCCAAGATAATAACAGATCATTTTGTTATTTTTTTTTCTTTCTGTGCACCACCACAGATTTTCAGATGGTCATTTGCAATACTCTCAGAACATCTGGTAAAGGCAAATTTACATTAATAAGTCTTTGCATATTGTTGTTATAAATAGAAATATATAAAAGTGATTTCATTTCGTAATCGTAATTTAAAAAAGGAATTAAATTACTAAAACAATGGGAATTTTTGCAGTGTCTCTTTATTGCAAACTTTTTCAGCGAGTAGTCAGCAAACAGTAGCTTAAATGCTTATATGGGGATGAATAGTCCTAAATAATTGACAGGGACCCACAGCATACTGATTTGGAAACTTTTACATAAAGGAAACTAGAGTCTAGACTATGCAGAGTCTTATTTTCCCATAATATTTACTACCATGTAAATTTAAAATGCCAATCAGGTTTAAAAAAAGCTTTCGAGTCCCATAGCAAACCCTTACATGTTTTCCTGTTAAAGTCTTACAGAACTATTTAGGCAACCATGTTCATTTAATGCATTAATCTAATAAATATACATTTCACCTTCATCGTGAAATGTACAAAGAAGCAGTCTGCATTTGTTGTTGCTATATAATATGCCCTGGAACAAGCTTCTACAACACCGAATTAGATTTTAGCGTGTAAAAGCAAAGTGCTGCGTTTATGGGGCAAGAGATAGTTTATCCCTTTACTTTGCCAGCTCATATCTCAACTGGAAAGTCATTGGGATATATTAGCAGGAGTAGTATTAACATGTAAGAGAAAACACATGCATCAGACTACTAACATTGTTAGTATTTATTTATTTTTTTTTTTATAAGTACAAACATGAGTACTCAACACTGGTTTCAAACCCGATACCAGCATCTGTATCGATGCAACCCTAGTCAGAACATCATGTCTATCTCTAACTAGTTGAGACAAAGTACCTGTTGCAATCAAGAAATCAATGTTTTTAATTAAACTGAATCGGTTTAATGAGTAGTGTAAGTACTCAGAAAGTAGTCTTGCTTTATTTCACTTTAAAGCTACTTTGTTTCATACCAACGGCACAGCCTTTATCAACTTTGATGCATTTTTGCACTTTGTGCTTTTCTATCGTGCATGAACGTTTGGTGGGAATGATGAAAACAAAAAAACATATAAAGGGTCACTAAATCTGCCAGGGGTATAAACAATAATATAAGTAATAAAACAAGCATATTTAAACTGAATCTATATTGATCATAAAATGATCTTACTAACACCTAAACCAGATTTATGATTTTAATTTCAAATAATATTTGAAGAGACATTTAGTAAGTTTTTATTAAAAAAAAAAATCATTGAACCTTTTTGACTAAAACATAATTTCATGAGCAGATTGACACTTCAGTAGGTCAGTGCAGATGCATCTGTAAGGGTTTAGACTATTTTCCCTCAAAGTACTTTGGATTGGAAGTTACAGTGCTTTCTTTTATTGTGTGTGTGTCCTGTTTTGCTAATATAGCTCTGGGAATCAATGCCCCAGAGCTGGATGATAGCCCAACACATTTGCTTTCACAAGCAGACCATTATAACTGTTGCCATAAGGTTGGTGCTTGGTACTTGTGTATGAAACTTTTTTGAAAACGATTTAGGGACAAAATAGTATTCAATGGACATAGAGACGGCAAGGGAGGTGAGAAAGAAAGAGGGGATGAGAACTAAGGGGGGGGGGGGGAGATAGAGAAAGATAGAGACAGTAAAGGGTGCATGAAACGAGAAAATAAAACAAAACAGCAAAAATAGGCAAGACAGAAGATTTACAGTAACTCCAAGACAATCAAAGTAAACATTAAAAAATGCAGGGGATTTCCCTTACATAAATTTTCATATGGAAGGCAAATCCTGTGGTAATTACACAATATTCTTTAGGCTAGTATATATCTGTAGCTGCAGTTTAATATTAAGCATTAGTGTGTAGTTGTGAACACATGGAACAAATGTTATTGTATGTATGCATGGTCATGCTCATGTATAAAGGATTTACAAAGGTTCTTCAGAAGGAAAATATACTCAATAGGGATAAAGAGGTTATCCTGCCCCCAGTTATTCAAAGGCACCCCAGATCACTGGGAAACAAGAAAGGCAGACAAAGGCATAGCCACCATCCACTGGAGAAGGGCAGACGAGATCACCCGGAGCTCAATGGTCTCAGGCCCTGAAGGGCCCGAGCCCAGAGGCTGCGCAGTTTCTGAAGACTTGACGTCAAGTGCATCTATGTTAAATGAGTCCTATCTAGCAAAAAATTGAAGCATTATATTAAAGATTGATTTTATGGATTCTCAAAAGTAACCAGCATCTAGCTCAACTCAAACATCTATGGCAACTCCACATGAGGAGAAAAAAGTAAAACAAAAAACCTTGTCAAATACGAGCACGAGCTATGAGGTCGAGCAGAAGAGAGCTGCAGTTCTGTGTTTTGGCCACAGATGGCAGCATCATTACAAAACTCTGTAATGCCTCTTTAATTAGGTATATTTTGTTACATTTTAACACTGCTAAATGATATGCTTATTCTAAACTAGTGGTGATAGTAACCTGCTTTAAGTATATTTTGTAAATAAATTGCACTTTCCATGCTTTTTTTTTTAGTACATGCAATAAGTGAGCATGTTTCAGGTGATGTACAAAGTTTGCTGTGCAAGAGTTAACACATACAAACCATTTGGTTAATATTAACATTACTTGACAGCAAAATATCTCTTCATTGCTTAGTCGTGTACCAATGCCTCCTTTGTAGCAGCAATGATCGCAGATTACATCTGAGTTTCAGAAGTACAAAAAATTATGCAAAAATGTTGAAAAAAGACGAATCTCAGATCTGTAGACTCATTTTGCACATGGTAAATGTTTGCAATTGTGTGGTTTCATCATTAGAACATGGTCTGCATATTGATGAAGTAAAGCACCAAACACGGTTTGCACACGTCTGCTTATTTGCAAACACGAGTAAATACATCTTTTTTAAAGATCTACTCTCTGCGTACAACATATTTGCACATGCTTTAGCACATGCAAGCCTTTTGAAGATCATGCCATGTATATATATATATATATATATATATATATATATATATATATATATATATATATATATATATATATATATATAGTTGTGCAGTTAATAAAAAGCCTATCTGAAGACCCTGCAATGACACTTGCCTGGACCTGAGCTTCCTTCAAACACTTCATTTCTGCCCCATTGGCAATTTGTGGTCCGCTAAAAGGGTCTTCTCTCTCTCTTTCTCTCTCTCTCTCTCAATGCAGAATAAAGGGGAGAAGGGACAGCTTGCACTTTCTTAACCAAGTTAGTGAGTACCTTCATTCCTGATGCACCTCTATACCCTGTGGCACCCCCGCCCCACCACCTCATCTCCTCTCTTGTTGTGAGTGCTCTTCCCTGTCAGTATCAATCGCAGGCACCTTTTAAAAAGCAGACTTTGTACTGTGCAACGTTCGCTGATGTCAGCAGCTGCAGTGATTGACAGCCGGGCCTTTCAACCTGCAACCCGGAGGTGGCTGACAGGCCTAGATGCTGGTGTGAGTCCAAATGCACGAGATGTGATGATACATCGGAATGCATGTGGGCGTGTAAGCAAATGTGATTGCGTGCTCGACTCCCATATATGAAAAAAGGCGGTGTGTGAAGTGTTAAAAGACCCAGGAATCAGCCAAACCAGACTTATAAAGCTTTGGCCTTTTTTCAGCTATGTTTGCAGCCCTCCTCCTGTTGCTCTAAACAGTATTTTATTTAGCCTGCCGAATGTGCGCGTGGCGGGTGTCTCTGCTGATCCTTGAGCTGTAAAAAGTGGCCAGCTCTCAGGGGAGCAGTAGAGGAGGAGAACAATTTATGGTGAGCAGTAAACCCTCAATTAATCACTTGCCAGCCACTGTGGCCCTGTGCAAAGAGAGGTAGGAATGAATTTTCATTCTCTGCTATTTGTCTCTTTGAGTTCATCGCTTATGTTTATTAGTCATCTTTTTATATCATATCCTCGGGGCTGCTCTGATGAGTCCATGTACATGTGTATGTGTGTGTGTGTGTGTGCAGCTCGCAGGTTGGTGATGCAACATGCCCACTCCAACGCCACCAAGCTGGAGGACAGATGGTGCAGCAGCACATACACACATACGCTCATAAAGAGGCTCAGAGGACGTGAGCACCGCCCATCGGGGACACGTGTGTTGGGGCATCAGAGGGTCAGGGGAGTCTAAGGACCACTGCTGATTTCCTCTGGGAGGTCTGGCGATTATTACAGGCACACAAAAAGGATACACACACACACACACACAAGATATATACACATAGACATACATACCAAAGGACACACGCACCAAGGGAAAAAGAAACAGAAAGGAAGCATGGAGACTTAGTGGGAAAAAAAGGAAAATTAAGATGAGGAATGGAGCAGAGAGTTGGAGCAAAATATGATAAATCTGTGACAAATCCAGGCAAAGAGTGGGTGTGTGCTGAAAACTAGGTGCTGTACATAAAGGGCGGACATATGCAGACAACATAATCATGACAATGTAGGGTTTTTCCAACTGCTAAGATGAACACAAGGGGCCTCCTTACCATAATGTAGTGCTGTCTGCCCTTCATTATCCTGAAAAAGGCAAAACAAGTGTTTACTTCATCAGACCCATGACAGAGAAGCAATAAAATACCTCAGAGTGAGCAAATTCAGAGAATAATCAGGGAAAGATGTCAATGCTGCAGATTTGCATCACATATTGTAAAAAAGAGTTTTGAGCAGCCAATGTCTGTTCAGATTTTTGGTTTCATAGGGCACGTCCCTAGTTTTTCTTTCGAGCCAAAGCTTAAAAACACTTTTTGCAGACAGGTATCTAAGTATATATGTATGCTCCTAAGAGCCTGGAGGATATACTGACCATTATTGCTTGTTACACTTTCTCCTGCTATTCTCCATTTATTCTTTACAACTGCCATCAACATCAAATCTACACTTTGTTTTAATTACACATAGAGAGAGACGTCCAACTACTATCCTTAGGGGTCAGCACCCTGATGTTTTAGACATGTTTCTGCATGAACAACTCCTCAGCATGTCATCAAGTTCTGCATAGTTCAGGGTTTGAACCAAATGTTCAATTCAACTATGTTGAACCACGAAAAGAAATCTATATGCAGGAGGCCCTTGAGAATTGACTTATAACACCAGTTCAATAGAAAGTGATCCTGTCTCAATGCTTCTACATTTAGCTAAAAGGTGGGCATCTTAATCTTTCTAGTGCGAATTCCTTGACCATTAATGTTGTGTATGGCTGGGAGACATCTATTCAATATATTGCGCTTTGTGCCACCTAATGTTTAGAATTACAATATCATAACTATTTGAATATTAATTTGTAATTAATTATTTTTTTTGTTTTGTTTTGTTTTTACGACACTATTGGCTCGCTTTTCTGACAATAGGCTAACAGGAAAGGGGATATGAGAGAGGGGGAGAGACATGCGCCAAAGGACCACAGGTCAGATTCGAACCTGGGTCAGCTGCGTCGAGGACTAAGGCCTCTGTACCGTGGTTGTGTGCGCTAACCGCTGCGCCACCTGCACGCCCTTCCCTAGCTCAATCAAATTTTTCCCTTAAGTATCAGATTTTTGATCAAAAGAGAGACAACTTATTTGTAAATCAGAACCACAGGCACTTGTAGCCTCTACTCAGCTTGGATAAGAGATTTCAGCTTCTGTCTTTAAGCAGGTGCTTAGGTAAAAGGAAAACTCATGAAGTGTGATAAGGATGACAAACTATTTACTTGTTCAAGGGCTTTATTATAAACATGGTAATGCTTTTTTTAGCTGATCACTGAGTCATCTTAAACAATTGTTATGCAGCACATTGTACTTAGCTATATTAGTCAACTGTTTTCAATTTTTTTAAGTTTTTAATCTGTATCTTTGTTTTGTCCTTTTCAATCCCATATAAACATTAAAAAGGTAGCTATATAATGCATGATTTTAATAATATTTAAAGTTTATGAAAGTTTTCCAAAGAGATTGTTCTGTAATTATTTTAAAATATATATTATTTTTAAAGTTTAGCTTGAAATAAGTGCTTTCTTTGGACATCTCAGGCACTTTTAGAACAAAAACAATGACTTCATACTATTATTCTTCCATAATCTAAGCTAGTGTAGTCATAAATAAATGTTAAATAAAAATGGCTAGACAATGGAGCCCTGAAGTACCCCACAGTTATGATCCGTTTTAAAATGACCAAATAACACATAGCTGCCGGTTTAGATAGAGATTTGAGGAAAGGTTAGAACATCCTACCACCAACTGCTATGGTACATCGTTTCAGGGATGGGCAGTGTAGCAATTTTTCAGCATTCCCAAACCATGGTAGTTACAGCTCAGTGCTGCCCGGTTGGTATGTGATTTACCACGATGCTGTATTAAGCTCATCCCAAAAATGTCCTCGTGTACGATTAATTTTATTTTGGAACCATTTATCCAAACCGTTCTAGAAGTCTCTTTATGTTCTCTTTGGTAAACGATAGGACAGACTGCTTTTCTTTTTCTTAGAGGAAAGTTTCCTCCTTGCTTGTCAAATGGATAGAATACAGCAGAGTCTTGACACTCATAGGTTCTGTGATAACATGTTATAGTTTATAGGAAACCACTTTTAGTATTTTGCAATCCATTTTCAGGTAGAACTTGCTTGGTCAGCTACTTCTGGGAATACAGGCAGTTTTCCAGCATGTTCTCCAAATGAACATATATCCTGTACAGTTGATAAGTGGCTTTTTATATATTATTTTAAGACCCCTTTTAATTCCTTGATATAAAACTTGATATTTTCTTCTCACTCTTAGTTTAACAGTCAGGAGAACACCAAATGTTTTCATGTTGAGAGATTGAAAACCTCTCTTTTCACATAATGTTCCCACCCCTTTACTTTAATTTTACCATCCTCCTTTCTCAACCCCTATAGTTCAATCTCCTCTTCAGTTTCATGTCCTTTACCCCTCTCTTCCACTTGCCTTCTCCAAATGAGACTCAGTGCATAGTGATCCTATTGTTGTGTTCCTCCTCTTCTCTGAGGGACAGCACTTTGGGGACCTGCTGATTGGATTAGAGCTTGGTATTCCCTCTGAGGGGATTTAAAAAAACACAGATGTGAATCGCCACCAGTGGAAAGCAGCGCTGTAGTTTAAGCAAACCAACAATGCTGTCTGTCTGCAAGTAAAAAAAAAAATCCCAACTTAAAGATGTGCATAAACTATCCCTTTTCCCAAATGTTATGATAAATTCAAAGCAGGGTGGCAGGCTGGAGAAACGTGTCTTAAACCCACTGAATGTGATAAATATAAATGGCATGAGAATCCGGTAAAATAAACAAAAAAACAAAAAAATAAGCTGGAATATTCTTTGCTTTAGTCCGTGTTAAACTAAAGAGAAAACAGTGAGACAGCTGGGGGGTAGTAAAAGGTGGTGTTTTTAAAAACAGAATCAGTGCTCCTTTGACAGCTTTTATAAACAATGAAAAAAATATAATTGAAGAATTGTGTGCATGTTTGAGAAGGACTTTAGTAAATGTTAAGCATTGTAGAGTGCAGCCTACAGCCTACTTGCATGCCTGTGAGGGTCATTCTCAACAAACCCTAATGCCCCTGGATCCAGGACGGAAGCTTGATGGAATCACAGGAAATTGGATTGTCTTCAATTTGCTTTGGAAGCAGACACTCCCCCTCCAACTCCCTTACCTGCAGTCAACATCCCCCATCCCTCGCTCTCCTGTCTCCAGTGCACCCCTGTTCCCATCCCATTACAGAGGCATGCTGCACCAAACCTCTGCTTTTACATGTCATCCAAAGTTTCCCCTTGCAAAGCAGAAATGCCAGGGTGGATGTCAGCAGAGAGCTCAATAAAGTAAAAAAAAGTGGCAGAGGAGACTCAGCTTAGAGTGGTAGTGTATTGCCCTGACAGGGAGGGAGGGGGCAGGAGCAATATGCTTAGAAGCTGCATGGATCTATCAGTGTGATTACAGTTTTGCTGAATTCAGGTCCCACTAATCTATCATTTCTACCACACAAATGATGTGAAGCAAGATGAATGTAAGGAAAAGAAAGTGAATTAGTAGGTTAGAAAGAAAAGGCATGCAGTCTTCTTTCTTAACAGATAAGAAGGGAAACACTTGAACTAAAGTTCAAAGTTGTTTGAAGAAAAGTGAGCTGCAAAGAATCCAAATAATACTTTCAAGCTCAGTGAGATTTCTGAAAGACAGTTAACAAAATACCAAAATGTTTTTCTTTTTTTTTTTTTTTTTTAAATTACTTAACAGATAAGATAAGATGGACTTTATTGATCTCACAGTGGAGAAATTCACTTGTCACATCGGCTCAATAGTAAAAAGAAGGTGCCAAAAGAAGAAAAAACTTTATTTATAATTTTAGATTCTCAGATTAGTTGAAATACAGACAAGCTATCCTGTTTAATATCTGTGAGAATCAGGTCAGCACTTTTAGAAGAATGATGCCACCTCAGGCTATAAGCAGGATATCATATGTTGTTAACTTGTATATGCTAATCAGCTTACCGCCCATAAAAATGTCCACTGCGCTCTATATGCACCTTCAACAGGGTCAATCCACCTTTTCATTAAGATTAGCTTTGTTTAGAGTTCTGCCTTTATAAAAATTTTTGTTTTTATTTTCTCAGAGCTACAGCAGCAATGTGATATCTGCTCTCAAATACTGGTCTATCTCATTGTCTCCTGTTGCCTATTACACCTTCTGCTGCAGAAAAGTTAGTTCATCTTCCTTTGAACAGAACAGGCCGGCTACGACATGGGTTCAATCAATCTCTGTCTGTTATCACTCTGGCAAGAACTGTATAATATCAATGCCACTCTGATTATTTTCAACAATCCCCTTCGTTAACTGAATTCATGAACGTTCATAATTGTAGCTAACTTGAGTCGGCAATCTTAAACACATGAGATGAGATAACATGAGATGTTAAACCATGTCTGTCTTAATAAAGAACTGATCTTGGCATTTTCAATACTTGGATTCACGACCAGTGTAGGCCAGTTTTCTGATTAATTTGGCTTATATTTATTTGACCAAATGTGGGGAATGTAGACATTCTATGGAGCACTAAAATATTGCCCAAATATTTTTGTTTATTCTTTAGGTAAAGTTTATATTTCTTATCCAAACACACAAGCACTACACCAAGGAGGGCTTTACCAAAGATGACAAAATTAAACGTTATACAAAATATGCTTTTGTTTCTGTATGTTAAGACCATATCAGACTTTATAATAAATAATAATAATAATTCATTTAATTTATAATGCACTTTTCACCAAAAAGGCCTCAAAGTACAACAGAAAAGCATAAAAAAAAAGCATTAAAAAGAAATACATAGAGATAAAAGAAATAAAATAATAAAAGGTGTTTTAAAAGAGAAAAAAAGAGACATCTAAGGGGGACCAAAAGTTTTGCTAAAAAGAAATGTTTTAAGGCTTTTTTTAAAACACTCAGTGGACTGAGGTGCCCTCAAGGTGTCAGGGAGGGAATTCCACAGACTTTGGGCAGCAGCACAAAATGTCTCATTGTCCTGAGTCTGGTTCTG